AAGTTAGAAAACAATTGTCAATTTAGAAAACATTGCGAGAAACATTTTCATTAACATATTCAGGCATTCAAATGCAATATAAAAGTTAGGGAAAATATTCAATGATAAGGAACAAGCAGAAAATTCCCTTTTTTACTATGTTAAAGGTTGTTTTATTTCTCTTTTCGAACTTACAATATGCAACTGAAATGTCCGCCAAAAGACTCCAAATTGCATAATGTTCACAGCGATGTCGCAGTTTTACAAGCGCGGAAAATTTTTGACCTTTAAATATTTCATGCACAATATATGAAAACTAGCTTCATTTTGATGTTTTTGGATAATTCAAGTACCTATTTTTTTGCCAATCACGAAATGATAATGGGCTTTTTTAATTTTTAAACATTTTTTTGCCTTTATTTTTGACATGCACATGCCAAAATCTACACAATGCCATATGGAATACAAGCAAGCGATGTAGTTTGTTGTCGCAGTTTTACAAGCGCGGAAAATTTTTAACTTTTAATATTTCATGCACAATATATGAAAACTAGTTTTATTTTGATGTTTTTGTATAATTTAAGTACCTAGTTTTCTGAAAATCACCAAATGAGAATGGGCTTTTTTAATTTTTAAACATTTTTGCCCTGATTCAGTTTGACATGTCCATGCCGAAATCTACACATGGAATAGCATTGCCTTCGACTTTGCGTTTTTGAAATCTGACACCCTATGAAAAAAGCTGGAAAAAAGTATGTTTAAACAAAAAAGCCCATTCTCATTTGATGATTTTCAGAAAATTAGGTACTTAAATTATACAAAAACATCAAAATAAAACTAGTTTTCACATATTGTGCATGAAATATTTAAAATTTAAAAATTTTCCGCGCTTGTAAAACTGCGACAACAAATTGCTTGTATTCCATGCATGTGTAGATTTCGGCGAGGATTTCGGCATGTACATGTCAAAAATAAAGGAAAAAAAAATGTTTAAAAATTAAAAAAGCCCATCTTCATTTGGTGATTTTCAGGAAACTAGGTACTTAAATTATACAAAAGCATCAAAATAAAACTAGTTTTCATATATTGTGCATGAAATATTAAAAGTTAAACATTTTCCGCGCTTGTAAAACTGCGACAACAAACTATCGCTTGCTTGTATTCCATGTGTAGATTTCGGCATGCACATGTCAAAAATAAGGGCAAAAAAATGTTTAAAAATTAAAAAAGCCCATTATCATTTGGTGATTTTCAGAAAATTAGGTACTTGAATTATCCAAAAACATCAAAATAAAACTACTTTTCATATATTGTGCATAAAATATTTAAAAGTTAAAAATTTTCCGCGCTTGTAAAACTGCGACAACAAACTATCGCTTGCTTGCATTCGTTATGGCATTGTGTAGATTTGGCATGCACATGTCAAAAATAAGGGCAAAAAAATGTTTAAAAATTAAAAAAGCCCATTATCATTTGGTGATTTTCAGAAAATTAGGTACCTAAATTATCCAAAAACATCAAAATAAAGCTAGTTTTCATATATTGTGCATGAAATATTTAAAAGTTAAAAATTTTCCGCGCTTGTAAAACTGCGACAACAAACTATCGCTTGAAAAAAAGAACTTGCTGTTTTTATCAATTTTAACATGGCGCTTCATCTGGTCGAACTCGACAAAAATACGTGTGATTGAACATACCTGATTTCCAAACACACATTCCAGTTGCAGGTTTTACGACAACAGCCGTTTAAAAAGCTTTATCTTCGTCTTTTTTTCATCTTATAAACAAACACACGAACGAAGTTGTTTTGCAAAAACAATCGATCCTCTTGAGTGAGATCACAGACTTCTATCTACACTACAACGGTCCCTGTATAATCAGCCGTGATTAAGAATCCGGAAAAAAGATTTTGTCTATAGTATTAAATAGCACAGATCCCAAATCCATTGTGTATTCATGCTCGAATTGTACTTTTTTACGTAGTAATTTTAAAAGGAAGTCAAAACAAACATGCCTGATCGAACCAAGCAATCAAGCATCGAATAAAAATGAAAATATGCGGGGGGACCTGCATCACACATAGATCAGGGGCGCCATAGCCGTTTCACCGCCCGTGTTTTACAGCGCCCTGGTTAGGGGTACGTTCATCAGTGTGTATACGTTCATAAGTTGTATGCGTTTCAAGCACGGTGGCACACACATGCATGGCAGAAATTCTTGTTGAATGATGCTTTAAAATTTTATGCGTATGCGGCCGTATGGTTTATACGATAAGCTTACTCTAGGCATACGCTGAATACGCTAGAGGTACGCTAGATGTACGGTACTCATAGGTTAAATAAGGTAATTAGTATATATGCACAATTTTGTATTTTCAAGGGCTTTTTGTGCGTATATGAAAATTATTTCAGCAATTTTCGTAGGTAAAAGTGAAAAGTGTAGCATCACTAGTAGCATGTGTAGAAATGTCCTGTAAACACCTGTTTCGTAGTGTTTAATTTCTGGTATAACTCTGTATTGGATCTGTATATTGCCCTTAACGCTCCTCTTGAAACAAGAATGACACACCAAGTGACAGTAAAGGCCCTGTCACACTATTGCGTATGAGAGAACTCACTTTTGCTACACTGATGTTTAAGGTTAAAGACCATGTCAAGTCCGTTCTGCGCATCAGTTCTGCTCATAACAAAGGCCACAAAGGGACCTACAGATATATAAAAATTGCCCAAATTTTGCATCTTTCGAACTTTTTTTAACTGAAACGTACTCTAGTTTATATTCATTTACAATAGCGAACCATAAAAGTATTAGATATTCTTTGACTGTTAGTATATGTCTTGTTAGCATTATTCTCTTGTTAGTATGACTTGACATGGTCTTTACACTTGTATTTTTTTCAGGGTCGTAGGAACAGGGGGGCCAGGCCCCCCAAGTTTTGCCAAGTGCCCTTTTTCCGGGAGCAAAGTGCCCTTTTCTTGCAGGAAAAATGTCTTAAGGATTGCCTTGTTTTGCCCAAAGAGCACTTTTGAAAACCCGAATTTATGTTATTTTCCGGAAAATTTTATTCATTTCCGGGAAAAATATGATATATCCGGAAAATGTTTTGGTATATCCGGAAAAATTTCTTCATATTTAGAAAAAAACTGATATATCCGGAAAAAGTTTTTTGGTGTGTCCGGAAAAAAATTTTGAGCTAGACCTCCTCAACGGCTTGTGCGTGCCAAACTTGCTACAAGGTTGTTGAGCTCAACAGACTTGTTACAAGTTATTCCAACAACTTGTTATCGTCCTGCAATTCAACAACTTGTCAACAAGTTGTGAGTGACAACCTTGTAGCAACTTGATAAAATAACAACAATGTTACAACTTGTTGACAAGCTCGCTACAAGCCTGTTGCGAACATATCTTGTTGACAATTTGTGAGATTTTTACGTGTGTATTACACACGCAAAAATCTCACATCTTGTAGCAAGTCTGCCAACAAGTTGTGTTCGCACTGCTTGTCCCAAGTTGTCAACAAATATGAAACAAACTGTTAGCAACTTGTGACAATCTTGTTGATATTATCAGACTTGTAACTTGTTACAAAGTTGTTCCAACAAGTCCGATGCAGTTATGATATAGCAGTATTGTTACAACCATGTGTCGTCAACCTTGTAACATTCTTGTTATATCATGACTGTATCAGACTTGTCAGAACAACCTTGTAACAAGTCTGATAATGCCATCAAGCTTGTCACAACAACTGGGAACAAGCAATGCGAAGACAACTTGTCGACAGCTTGTGAACAACTTGTTTGCAGACCTGTAACAACTTGTGCGTTTTTACGTGAATTGTTCTACACATGTAAAAATCTCACACCTTGTAACAAGTCTGCCAACAACTGAGCCGTCAACAAGATGTATTCGCACTGCTTGTCACAAGTTGTCAACAGGTTTGGAACAACGTGAATGTACGTGTGTATGTGAGATTTTTACGTGTGGCGCATGCACTGCACGTGCTGTATAATCCAGTGTTGTGGACTACACACGTAAAAACGCACAGGATGTTACAGGTCTGCGAACAAGTTGTTACAAATCTGTTCGCAAGCTGTTGACAAGTTGTGTTCGCACTGCTTGTTCCCAGTTGTTGTAACAAGTTTGGAACAAGCTGTTAGCAACTTGTAACAAGCTTGATGGCAGTATCAGACTTGTTACAAGGTTGTTCTGACAAGTCTGTTACAGTCATGATATAACAAGAATGTTACAAGGTTGACGACACATGGTTGTAACAAGATTGCTATATCTCGACTGTATCGGACTTGTTGGAACAACCTTGCAACAAGTCTGATAATATCAACAAGGTTGTTACAAGTTGTTAACAGCTTGTTCCAAACTTGTTGACAACATGGGACAAGCAGTGCGAACACAAATTGTTGACGGCTTGTTGACAGACTTGCTGCAAGATGTGAGATTTTTAGTTGTAACAAGTCTGCAAACAAGCTGTTACAAATCTGTTCACAAGCTGTCAACAAGTTGTGTTCGCATTGCTTGTTCCCATTTTGTTGTAACTAGTTTGAAACCAGCTGTTAACAACTTGTAACAAGCTTGATGGCATTATCAGTCTTGTTCCAAGACGATGCTAACAAGTTTGTTACAGCCATGATATAACGAGGATGTTACAAGGTTATCAACACAAGGTTGTAACAATCTTGTTATATCAAGCATGTAACGGACTAGTCAGAACAACCTTGCAACAAGTCTGATAATTTCGACAAGGTTGTTACAAGTTGTTAACAAGTTGTTCCAAACCTGTTGACAACTTGTGACAAGCAGTGCGAATACTTCTTGTTGACTGCTTGTTGGCAGACTTGTTACAAGATGTGAGATTTTTACGTGTGTAGTAAAGGATATTCACTCCAAGTTGCGTCGGCAACGTGATTAAGTTTGACCCGTACGTTGGCGTTGTGTTGCCCGCGCGAGAAAAAAATCGCACATGTAACCCTAGTGTCAGTATTGGTCAATGATGACTTTTTTGTCTAGGTGAAGGACCTCATCTGAAAATATATGAAGCTACATGTGGAAGACTGGTTACAAAAGAAAGAGTATTTGATAACCAACGGATACACTCTATCAAACGTAAGTTATAAATGTGGAGAAAAAATGATGTGCTGTATACTTATTGAAATCCCATTTTTCCACCGTTGGGAATTGCATCTAATCCTATTGTCTGAGTAATTGAAATTATTCTCATTCGGGATTCAAATATTGAGTCACTTGAATATCGAGATGGCGCAACGCAATGTAAATTTTCACTCGCAATTTCGCAATTTTGCATCGAAATTGAGTGGTTAAAACATTTTACAGAACCAGTGGCAGTTTGCAGACTGAACTCAGATCGTATTCGGGCATTTGTCAGTATCGCAATGATTCCATGAAGGTGTCATTTGACAGCTAAAAGCCTGATCTATATAAATATACGTAAACAGAAAACCTATAAACGTAATAATTAACACACGATAACCTCTCAAAGTTGCATTATCTTTTCTTTATACACCCTGTGTATACACAATAGAGTCCTGGGGCCGGTTGTATGAAGGCTGGACAGTGTTATCTGCGGGATAGTTCTTTCAACTGTTGTAAAAAGAAACATACAAAAATTATTAAAAGAAAGCCGTACAAATAGGTATAAAAGTTAACGTGTTATATGCAAAATGATAAAAAATTGTTTACATAAAATTGTACAATTTACATATAGAATTCAAATGAAACGATGGCATACTCTATTCCATTCTGAATGTTCAATGTCACTGGTACAAGGTGGTGAAGATTTCGTGTTCGACTGCCTCGTATGCAAAGGTTTTGCGCTCGAAGCAGGGCAAACGCAATCTGTTGTAAAAGTTGTACAACTGTTGGTATACATCCGCCCTCTCAGGGATGAAGATAACGTTTCATGATACGCTTGTCATGATCGCCTAATATCCAAGGGGTCCACAACATCTCAAAACCTAATCTCTATCCCAGAGCGAAAATGTCACCGTTCATGCTCAGTGGCCGGTGTGATATAAACTTGACCGATCATATTAGGAATTTAGGCGGGTCATTGACCGTTGACCGGCCATTATTTTGAACCCTGGAGCCTTTGTAGTAGCAAGATAATAAAATTTATCTGCGTTATCAGTTTTCTGTGCATGCCCAGCTTGTAGCTCGAGTAAACATTCAGTGTGTAAGCAGGTAGCCTACGTGGCAGGCGGATTTTTTACGGGCAGCGAACATTAGGGAGGCAAATGAAAAACGCTAGTGAGCAGGATACTGGCCGGCTGTCAAAGAAAAAAATCGTATGCCTTATGTGGTGCATGACAGAAGCTGCAGTGCAACTACATGCAAGCCTAAAGCGACTTTTCCCTTTGTCGGCATTGCTTTTGCTAACGTGATAACAACCTCGTTCCCAGGGTATCTCCTGAACGTGATAATTAATTGCACTAGTTACCAAGCTGATGGTGTATTTATACGAGTATAATGGCTTGGTCACATTCACTATACTCATTGAAGTACAAGTAGCATGTACCTAAAATATCCTGATTTTCGTATATATATAATTTCTTATTACTAATTGTGGTATTTAATTTTACAGTTTATGATTCAAATTTTGGAACAAGAGTGATCGTTTGTGGTGGAAGAATTGTGAGTGTTTTGAATGTGCAGAATAATGAATCCAGCAGGTACATACAGGGTATCTTATCATTTAATATGCTTGCACATTCACCTGCTGCATATAAGGAAAACATAAATTAATGGTTGTAGAATATCAGTTATGCCATCATTTGATAAATAAAGCTTGCATGCATACGTGTGCGGGCGGAAAAAATTAGGGTGCCGGACAAAAATTATCATGGGTTGAATGATGTATTAAATTGGAAGTTAATTTGAAGAATATACATCTCCAAAACAGACACACAGATATTCGAAGTCAATATATCTTATGATGATCAATAAAATAATATACGCCGGCAAAATATAAAATTGAACTTTCATATGTGTTACTACAGTATATGATCAATACCATGATAAGATACTCGTATACTGAGGCGTCTCCCAGCCCACTTGTCTTGTATGCCTATGAAAATTTGTCAAGGGAAATATGTATACATACTAGCAAGTCAACTATATGGTCAACTGAGGAATAGGCTACTCGCTCGTCTGTTCAGAATTTCACATTAATCTGTTGTTACATTGACCATACAATGTGCATGTAACAACATATTATATAATAACGTTAGGAATTCAAGCGCTTTCATTGGTTGAGAGCCATGATCTTTTTGAGGATAGACGCAAGTAATTACGTCACACAAAACATTGTTCTGTGCAACCAATCACAACACAGCACATGATTTAAGGTAGCCAATAGCATTCCCTTATTTGTATAGATCATGTACGCGTGATATTTGTGCAGTATGACATCATAAGACATAAGTGTATATATAACTGCATGAACGGACAAAGGGCGAAATCTTATTTATTTGTTAATTAATTAATGATTATGTTTCAGTAAAATTCAAGCAATCACTGAGGTTTCATTCAGTGACTGGATTTGGGATATATGTTTACTGCAAGGAACAACAGAAGACTCTCAGTGTGTAGCTGTAGTCACTGGTCATAATGCAGTGTGGATATGGAATTTTAACGAAAACAAAATGTGGCAAGTATCCCAGTGTGAGGAACAGTGTATTTTGTATCCTTTTCAATTGAACGAGTTCTGTGTTTATTCTAAATTTAAATTTCTAACCTGAATGAGCGTACTATGCCTTACGAGATTACCATGTACTTTATTGAAATCTCAAACTTAGGAGTGGAGTGTACTATACCGTGTGGGTACAGTCTGCATGGAACTACTGTTTCTGAAAAAGGACTGCAAATTTATGAAAACAAATTCTTGGTTTACTGTATTTACACCATACTGTATAATGCCATTTGAAACAATCATGTGGCGCAGATAATGCGCATGACTGCAATTTCTCGACATACACTGTAGGTCCAAAGTAATTAAAAAACCACCTTGAAATACGAACAATGAGAGTAAATAAAATATTGATAAATTAGAAATTAAATTGAATTTATGAACCATGTTAGAACCACCTTATGGAAAATCTGACCATATAGCATATGCTACAGTTGCAATGGTCTGAGTCATATGCCCAACAACTATTGCTTAAGGGGTACAGTTTACATATTATGGTCGAAGATAACTATAATATTTAACTCTTAAGTGCTAAACATAATTTCATATTCGTTATCAAGATATGTAACATTATATAGAAAGTCGAAGTGAATTGTATTAAAGTTATTACATCATTAATTTATAGCATTAGAATATTGAGTAAGTGGAGGGAAATAACTACGCTTGATACAATCCTTGTTGCACTTAAAAATACAGCAGCTCTTCCAATTGCAATTATTTCGCCACACCCCTGTACCGACAGTGTCACACGCAGACATATGCTCATGCCAAGCTTAAATTTGAGTGCACGCAGTTCCTTAACTGTTATGTAAGAGAACGCGGAAGATAAGTCATATATTTACCTGGGGGGCTTTAGAGCCCAAGGGCAAATATATGACTTATATCGATATTATTACTTATTTTCTAGTTGAGTCTGTTTTCGAACAAGATTTCATCAATTTCAAAGACTGTCCATAAATATTTTTCGAGTTTTGTCGACAAGTTTAATCTAATTATTTATTCCTGGGTTATAACCTGTGTACATCCCGCGGTACATCAAAGAAAACCGACTCAACTAGAAAATAACCTTGATTATTTCCTCAACTCGTATTTAAAGAATAGGATCATGCAGCAATCATAAATACTGTGCATCATGTAAGACCCACAAAACAGTTTAGCAAATATTAATATACCAATGATTGTAAGGTATATGTGATCGTCCCAGGTACAGTAGGATCTTGTCAGGACACAAACCCTTATCCTAAGCTACTTTTAGTTACCTCAAACTACTACATGTGTTCTAACATGAAGTGGTAACAATCTACAAGCTGTTTTGAAGTGTGACGACAGACTGCATTATACCGGCTCGCACTTTGAACTGGCATAATTGGTTGAAAGCTGTAATCAGTATTTCTGCAAAATAATTGTTATGTGAAAGACCTTACAGTATACCAATACTTTAATTTTTTTTTACTCATTCAGTTATTACAAAAGTTATTATCTCGTATACTGAAAGTACCAATATCAGCTACAAACCGTTCATCAACTACACAATTATGCATGAACGTTGTTGGTTTTCAGATGTTGCTACCGTGTTATTCCTGGAAATTATTTCGTTAATTAGCGTAGACACGGCTTGCCCAAAAACACTCTTCTCCCCGCCAGTACGTTCTAGCATCTCGAACCACGCGAAAAATCCATGCTCGAGACAGAAGCTGTCCATTTCATCTGGGGAATTCATTATCAAGCCCTCACCCATCCACTTTTCTGGCGTCTGGAATACATTATCGACAAGCAAAACGAATGGTATGTCTGGTTTTATTTGCGTGATTTCGTGTTTATATTTTAAGGCACACTCCATAGTGTGGCTCTTCGGGCCCCAAAAGACAATGGCGCCGTCGGAATTTCCATATTGAAGTTTATTGGTAGGGAAGAATCTCTCGTGCTCGGCTAAATTCCATATTTCAATTCGAATCTTTTTGCCCCGCTTGTCGTACAAACATTTGACACGGAAATCTACCCCAATTATGGGTCGGTTATAAGGATGTTGGCAAATTGTTTCATCATTCGACACGTAATCTTCTATATAAACCCCTTTACTCCAAGCTCCAGAAAAATCACCAACACAGAGGACTTTAAAGAACGTCTTTCCATCGCATGAATTTTCAATGGCTACTTCCGGCTCATCTGATGTAGTATTTTCGACTTCTACACTTAATGTAGAGGTATTCATATCGATCATTTCTTCAGATTTTCCTTGATCTTTGGTATTTTTGTTCGCCGTACCAATACATGCTTCAGCCATTTTGAGATCAGACTGGCTAGTTGTATTATGTCAGTTTTTATTGTGCTGTTCGTTTACCAACGGAGATTCAACGAAGGCTGGAAATTAAAAACAAGTGTTTACGTAATTTTAAACAAATATTATACGCATGATGACTGATGAGACAATGTTTCAAAGAAATAAATGCAGCACGCAGCGTCTGCCCGTCTGAGCGATAATAAACCAAATGTACGTTTATATTGTTACGAAAGTATAACTAAATAGTATAAAAATAGTTCAATTTGCACCCCAGGTAATTATAGATACTAGTTACGTCAAATGGAGAGATAATGAGCATTTTTGCTGTAAAACGCAGATAAAGTATATATCATTTCGGACTTGTGTAAAAGTGTCAATTATCTGTCCAATAGGCAAGATAAATGATTTGTCAAACTGTCAAAATTGGACGATAACCTTGCATGGTGGGCTGTTGTGTTTACATAATTCAAAGTCCAAGGCTGGTTCTTCTCTGACATGAAAATGTGCATGCTTAGGGCCTTTCTGTCAATCATTCTTCGGTATATTTCGCGCGGTTGAGTAATGATAACATTAAGAACTGTTAGTTATCTAAATTTGATTGTAAACGATTCCCTACCTCGCGTAGAAAAGAAATAAGCTATATATTCGTAACAATATCCTCAAAAAGTTGGTATTAATGTAATATTGATGTACTGTTTAAAACACCCATATAGGAGTGTTTTATTATATGATAAAACACGATTACATGCATGCATGCAGTGTTTTGAATAGCTTCTAACACGACTATTCAATACAGTAGATGCCGTTCATTAGTATTCTTTATACAGTATAAAGAATACTAATTAGGATAGACTTTTATGTAAAGAATACTATAAATGGAGATGAGTTTTATCAGGAATAAAGCCTCTTCACGTGACAAATTAAGTGTATGAATTATTATATAATGAGCGTTTGAAGAATAAAAATTCTGTATTTATATAATAGCATGCTATACAATATATTTATCTTTACCGGTTTGCTGCAATAAGTACATAATAACTCATAAGCAGTCCTGCAAATATGTGTATTCACATAAAAATGCGTTAATAAACGCTTAAAATGCGTATATATATAAAGTTCGTCTGACTTTGCTATCAAGCGATTTATTCAATTGTGTTTCGTTGCTCATTGTGTATGATTCAACCGCGCATGATATAACCCTTATGTATAGGTAATAGTGTGGTTTCGAGTGCAATTTGGGAAGAATAAAAACATGCAAGAGAGAGTTTTTCAAACTCACGAGACACGAGTGTAGGCCTATGTTTTTTCAAATTGCACGAGAAACGATATACTATATACTATTACTTAATAATATACATGAAAATAGGTATGCAGTGCGTACATGTTGCATGCCATCTTCAACCTTATGATGTGCTAGCGCCTATGACTTTTGGTACAACTGGCCTGAAACTTAAAGTGGAAGTCAAGTCCGTATTAATGTAAACAAATGGTTTGTTTACATTTTGAACTGCTGAATTTTTTAAAATATGATGTACTGTCTGAATATCTAACACCATTTTGGTTCGCTATGCCTATGCTTCTAAATGAATACGAAATAGAGTTTATGTTCAGAAAAATTCGAAACATTCGAAATTTGGGCAATGTTCACATTAGAGGGTCCTCACATTGTTATGAGCAGAATCGATGCGCAGAACGGACTTGACTTCCACTTTTAATATGAATATATTTATTGAAAAATAGCTATTTTGTCAAAATAAGAAAACGGAAGATTCTCTCGCGAATAAACAAGGTTTTCAGTATCGCAAGCGATTGACTGTTAGATTTCCTTTACAAATTTATAACTAAATAATGTTATTCCCTACAAATTTAGCTTTATTGTAGCTCTTTGAAAGTGTAAAAAACCGTGGAAACGGTGAGTTACTATAATAGTTACTATGAGATTGCTACTACTAGTAGATTGCTATTTCCTTATAATAATATAAACGAAGTTAATAGTATTAATGAGAATTTGGTTTGATACTTATATTTCATGTTATTTACAAAATGTACTGTAATTTTGAAGTTTTGCACACAATATAATTAGTGCAAGCACAATGGCTCCGTTTTGTTAATTGAGTATTTTGATAGAGTGGCCTTTCATGATATATAATAACGCCTGATATAGTGCGAGCAAAACGCTCCAAAATCACAACAAATTACAGAATATAAATTTTCGGCGAACAATCATTATTTTCTTTGCGTTTCCTCGACGAAAACCATGGACGAAAACGTGCATGAGTGATTCACATCACATGAAAATGTTCTTTGGAAAAGCATCTGCCACGTGATTTACGACCACCGGTACGCTCACGACGACATGAAATGTAGAGCTATATGAAAGTTGCATGCCATATAGCCATATATGGCATGCAACAAAAAACTCAAAACACCTTGCTTCAGGACGACCCAACACCTTACTTCAGGACGACCTTATTCAAACACCTTGCTTCAGGACGACCTTACTCAAAACACCTTGTTTCAGGACGACCTTATTCAAACACCTTGCTTCAGGACGACCTTACTCAAAAC